ACCCAGATGGTGAAGGGCTTAAAGAGAGCAGGCTATGAGAACTGGCTAAAGAAACTAGGTATGATTAGTTCAAGAAGAGAAAATTTAGGGGAGATATGATTTATGTCTTAAAGTGTAATGTATTTTCCTACCTTTCAAAATAAGTACTCTACCCAAAGCATCACTATTTGGAGGAGAAAGTTTAAAAGTTTAATGAAAGCAACCAACTCCCCTACCCTTCAATGAATTCAATAAAACTTGAACAGCTAAACAAGACACTGTGATAGGATATAAGTCTTAATGGTAATTTGTCTTCCATCCTGAACATTCTTCACATCTGAACCTAGGCTATTAACAATGGAATGTAGATTTATTTCTCTTTTGGTGTCTATGGATTTGGTCTTATGGGTTGAGGATAAAGACTGTAGGGATTCATATTATGCTTGTATCATAAATGAATTATTGTTTCCAGTTCTCCAAGTTAATGTGAATAATCAACCATATAAGGTTTTTGTTGTTATTGTTTTTAAGCTAAGGATTAGGTCATAGGATTTAGAGGTGGGAGGGACTTTAAAGATGATGGAACCAACCGCGTAATTTTACAATAAAAGAAACTGAGTCTCAAGGAGGAAGTGGCTTGCTAGCAAGTACTAGAGCTAGAATAGGAACATAAATTTCGAGTTCAAAGGAAAATTGGAGATGCCCTAAGATGATAGAATCATAGACCTGGAGCCAGAGTACACCTCAGATACCATCTAATCAACCTCTCTTCATTTTACAAAAGAGAAAACAAACCCAGAGGGGTTGATTGCCTTGGAATAGGTCACACAGGTAGTAACAAGCAGAACTGGAACTCAAATCTAGGTCCTTTGACTCCCAAACTAGTTCTATCTACATATCCCATGCTGCTCCCTATTTGCATGTTTCAGAAGTATATATGAGTTCATGTGAATAAAGAGTTTGGGTTGTCGAGAATGTAAGGTCTTACTGTCCCATAAATGTTATTTGGCTCTTCTTCTGGAAGAATCTTAATGATTTTCTCTGAGGCTGTGTACTTCATTCATCATTGAAAAGCAGTCACTTCTGGTGGGAATGGTGCAGCTGTTTAACAGCTGCCCAGCAACACTAAGTATCACTTTTAAGACAGGAAACTAGGCAGCATAGTGTAGCCAATTAGAATTTCATGGTGGAGGTAGGGAGGAATATAAGTAGGCACCTTGGTTGGAAATTGTTCAGAATACTTTCTTTAGAATGCAAAATAAATAAAGTCCCAGTATATTCAGTGACAAGGTGATGAGAACAATCATGTTCCAAATCTGAGGTATAGTGGCTGTTACTCCCCGAATGTCTAATAAAATATAGATGGATGGTGATGTCCATAAACCAAATTAAAATATTTATGAAAATCTACAATATGGCATAACTAGATCACTATATAACTGTAACACAAATACAATGTATGGATATCTTACTTTGTACATAAAAGGTTTCCTGAAAAATGTTTCTCTAGTAGATTGAGTTTTTAGAAATCAAATTTTGGGAAGACAGGCAACATGAAATAGGGGAAAGACTGCTAGACTTGAAATCTGAAGATAGGAGTTTTTCACCTGGCTCTAAGCTGTGTTTGTGGGGAAGACACAATCTTTCTGAACCTCGGTTCCCTCATACACAAAATGGGCAAAATTATACTTTCATTGCTTATCTCACAAGATTTTGTAGGAAAGTTCTTTGAATACTCTGAAGAACATATCTGAGCTGTCATTATTATTCATTATTTTCCCGTGATAATTTCAGGGACAATAGTTTTTTTTTTTTATTTTAACTCACTCTCATAGATAATACCTTTTCCTCCTTCTCCCAAAACAATAGCTACCAATGAATTACCTACACAGGTGTGTCCCCACTTAGGAAAAACATATATAAGAAAACAAATTAATTTATAAAATTCACAATAATTAGTTTATTTATTTTAGAATCTATTTGTTTTAGGCTTTGCCTGACACTTTGGATTCATTTTCCTGCCCTCAATTTAAGTTTTACTGGTTGCTCTCTTTTTGATAAATATATCATGTTATCTGAAAAAGTACTTAAGAAGCTAATTCTGGGGGGCAGTGAGGTGGTGTCGTTGATAGAGCATGGGTCCTAGAATTAGAAAAACCTGAATCAGATCTGGCCTCAACCACTTACTAGTTGTGTGACACCGGGCAAGTCAATTAACTCCAATTGCCTCCAAACCACCTCCCCCCCCCAAAAAAAATTAATGAAAGAAGTTAATTCTTCTCCTGGTCAACATTTTTTAGATTAAAATAACATTCATACAAATAAATTCTAAAATAAATAAATTAATTATTATGAATTTTATAAATTAACTTGTTTTCTTACATTTGTTTTTCCTAAATGGGGACACACCTGTGTAGGTAATTCACTGGTAGCTATTGTTTTGGGAGAAGGAGGAAAAAGGAGTATTGTCTATGAGAGTAAGTTAAAAAAAAACTATATAAAAATGTCTAGATTCCTACTATAGATTTGATAAGGTACATTCTTGAGCTTATGTCACTCTAAAGCTATTCCATGAATGAAATCTTTGTTGTTTTCTTTTCCTCTCCTTGGTTACAATTTAAATGTTTTAAATAGTGCCGTGGCCTTATTGTTCAAAGCAAAATTAGATTTCTCTGTCTACAAAAATACAAGGAAGATTGTTGTGATAAAGCAGGTTTACCAAGTATTGAATAATATCTATTTGTATTTTTGGTCAGCAGAACATTAAAAAACACAGTTATTCAAAAATTATCATTAGTCATTGAATAGAACGATAATTCTTTAGGTGCCATATTCACCCCTCAATGCTTTTGCCTCCATGTTCTTGCTCACTCTGTTTTCTATACCCTTTAAGGAACAATTAAAATACCATGTCTATAACATATTTCTTAATATGTGCTTCCACTTGTAATGACTCTTCTCCTTAGAGTTCACATTTTTTTAAGGTTTAGACCTATGATTTCATTGGTGTAGGGAGAACACTACACCATCATTACAGATTCGGGAAGCCCTGAGAGGTTAAACAACACGCCTAAAGTCTGATTGCCAGTAGGTGAGATGAAAACTTAGAGCTTCCTGACTCCAGGACCCAATGTCTGTCCCCTATACCATGTTGTCTTTCTGAGATTACGTAGCACTCTCCTATCATGAATTAGTGTTTATTGTAATTATCTGTGTAACCCCAAATAGACTATAATGAGGTATTTCTTATCTAATATTTGTATCTTCTCCAGAAGTGCTCTACAAAGATGGAAATGCTTATTAAAGGTCTGTCCAATTGCATCACAGAAATAATACAAGCCCCAATAAATTTAGGGGCTATAAAATACTGAAGTCTCATTTAAAAGTGCCCATATATTTAAATTTAGTGCCACAAATAACCAGAAGGCCACCTGAAATTCCATTTCTAATTCAGAATGGCTGCCATTTTGTGGAGGGGTGGGGAGAGATGAGGTAATCATGGATTGGTGAGTTTAAATGCAGATATTGTTGGGCTTTGCTACTGCCCAGGATATTAAAATTCCTGCTTCCATTTGTCACTTAAGTTGTCTAATTCCATTCAGGTGGAAAGGTGAGCCAATTAAGTCTTTCATATGAAAATGTGAACACTAGAAGAATATCAAGTTACTACTCAGGAACTTTCATATTATAACTTATAGTAACTATTTCCATGGCTTTAACCTTTTCTGGGCCCCATCGTTCTTTTCTTATTTCTTTTTCCTTTTACCCAAAGGTCTTATTTCTGTCCTCTGAATTCATTTTCAGAAAGCATGCCTATGAAGCTAGAACCATCTAGAAACCCAAAGTCAAAGCCTGTAGACAATGTTTCACATACCGATATGAAAAAAAAAAAATCACATTTGCTATTCTGTTGATTGAAGGAACAGATGCTCATATAAGTCTGAAAGCTGAGATACACTCATATTTTCTGTCATAAATAGTAAAGTATTTCTAATAATGTAGCTAATGAGGAATTTAGTTCAAAAGGTTTGGGGAAAACTATAAGTAGCATGTTGAATTAGCTGTGTCCTTTTTATTGAAAATAGAAAATAAACAATAAGAGTGTTGTCTATATTTTTTAAAAGACTGAAAAATTATTGTGTGCCACTATATAATTAGGTAATGTAATTCTCATCGTAACTGACAGTTCGAACTGTTTTACACATGCATACACAAATTACTGTGTATTTGTGAACATGAATTTTAAGATTTCCTTCATTGACAATTTTTAAAATCTCAAGGGAAAAAAGCCAGGATTTTTTTTTCTAGGACTAATTTATATAATTGTTGCTTAAGGAAATACATATTCCTCTCCTATTTATATGACACTCTAAATCTCTGTAACTAATCAGTATATTTAGCAAGAAGCTATATTGCAGTTGAGATCATGTTTATACATTTAAAACTCCAGTTAACTGGATTTAACTGAATCCTAAGCTGTCTCACTGTCCACCCCTGCACTGATCCATGCTGTTCATGATCTGCAGACAGGCAGGCAGAAATGTAGGTCTACACAATCAAGATTATTATGTAACATCCATCAGTGATATGAAGTGGACTTTTCTTCTAAAAGAAAACTTGGAATCAGCTTTGTAGAACTCACTGGAGTTAAGAACCTTCTCATTTTACCACCGTAAGTCAAATGTACTTTCTCTTGAAAAAAATGTTTTTTATACCAATGTTTAACATTTGTAATTTTTTTCCTCTTTTCATTTCAGTCCTGTGTTCTGTAAAAATGTCATTGAAAAACTTTCTATTGCCATTAGAACATTGACAAATTTTGTTTTATTTAGTCTTGTTAAGACTGTGTAAAAAGAAGAAAGGCCTGATGTGGGTAGTTACTTTATAATTTGCCTATAAAATAGTTTTCCGATATAACATTTTATTTACAGACAATAAACTAAAATGTATTTGAGTAATATCAATTCATTTATGGTTCCTGGTAGACATATAACAATGTATCTTTTTTCTCTTTATTTTAGGAAGAGTTCCCATACCACATGATGCAGTCCTAAACTGAGTTTTAAAGCTATCAACAAGCATTTTTTAAGTGCCTAAATGAACAGAAATCTACTATAACTGAGAAATTGATGAAGGTAATTTTGAAAATACATGTTTTTTATTTATGCATTTAAATACAGTATGCTGTTCCTGGAACCAATGATATAAAGGGTTATTTGTTGTTGTTTTTTTCACATTAAAACTGTTTCTTGGCATCCATTCAACATTTCAAGAGTAAGAAAATATATTTGTGATTGAAACATCCTCAAACAGACAATAGTGCAGACAGTACTCTTGCCTCCCAAGGCCCTGAGTAAGTTATGGAGCTTAAGGATTTAGTGCTTAAGGTTATAAATTTAATTACAACATTTATGTATATATCAGTGTTCTGGAGCAAGGGTGCCAAACCTCGGGTCTGTGAACTCTTTTTTTTTAATGCATTTTAGCAACTGTATTTCACTACATTTGGTTTCCTTTGTAATCCTATTTATTTTAAAAACATTATTCTGAAAAGAGATCCATAAATTTCACCAGGCAAAAAAAAAAGGTTAAAAGCCCCTGCTCTACAGAAAAAAGTACCCTAGTAGGGTCAACCATCAATTCAAAACATAAAGAAATTAAATTAAGTAGTTGGGGTGGGAATTCAATTGATATAAATAACTTGTCTTAAAAATTATTATTATTATCATTGTTGTTGTTGTTAATAGCCTTTTACCAAAAGATTAAGAAGAAGGGATCCCTCTAAATATAGGTCAGTTTTATTTATGAATTCTTGCCTTATATTACCAAAACAATTTATAAATTCTAACTAGATAACAATCTATTTGCTAAGTAACAGGAGCAATGTGTCAAAAAGTCCTGGGAATACAAAGAACAACTGAATAATCAGCAATTGTTAAACAAGCCATCCCAAACACTAAATACCATAGTGTTTATATAAACTTTATTAACTAACATTAAAAAAAAATCCTTTGACTCAGTTCTATACTCACAGCTTATTCATGTACTACAGATATATAAAATAGAGCTGCCTCTAGTGAGAATGCTGGAATGTTTGATGTCACATGGAAAAATGTTCTCTAAGTAAAACATGGCACCAACACAATAATGTCAATAATAATTACTATGAAATGTAACATCTTTCAGGGAGACAGTTTAAATCCCTTTTATTTTTACTTAGCTTAAACCCGTTATCATCTCTCCTTAATAGAATAAAATATGGCTTTTAAATGAAAAAGGAAATACTACCAAATATGTCTTATTGATTACTTCACGTATATAGAAGACATCAATCAATATGGCTCTACTGGGGAGAAACACATTAATCATCTCTTTAATCTTGTAAAAACTTTCTCTAGTGATACAAAAATGTTATTTGGAATATATTCTAACAAAAACTAATAGATTCAGTCATTAATTTATTAATATTGCCTTTAGTTATGCACCTCTTTGTGTTTACCATGTTATTCTTTATTGTTAATAGAATTTAGTGTTATCAATTTATTAGTAGAACACAAGCCCATCACCCTAAGGTAGTTATAGAGAAATTAACATTTTCTCTCCAAAAGGAGAAAAGAGTTTGATAAGCATTCTTTGAGCATATGACGAGGAACTCAGAAGCTTTTGGAACATTCAGACAACACTTTGCCAAGCACTAACAAATCTGATAACAGGTATGAACAAGTGGATTTTTTTTTCATCCATAACAGTAAGTCATTTACCTCCGGTTGAAATGACCATATAAAATGGCTCAGATCCATAAATGGAATTAAAAGAACCTTGATGGACAATAGCCACATGAACTCAGTCAACAATATTTTGACAAAGAACCATTAAACAAATGGCTGAATCACAGACTACCTGCGGAAATAGAGGGATCTGTGGTGACAATTCAAGGCCAATCTATTGCCACCAGAAATTATAGAAGGAAAATCCTTCATGAGCCCAGATTTTGTTATCAAAATAGATTATAAAAGGAGCTGGTGAAAGTTGTCTACCAAACTACTTCATGCTTAAAAATTTGTCATCTGCCAAATACCTAACAAGGCACGACCCGATGACTGGTATTATATGTCAGAAGGTTGATATCTTTGCATGGACCAACAAATGGCCAATCCCTATTCTACAAACATAGATCTCAAAAGCTCCTAAAGAACTAAACCAATAAACTCTCTTGGAACCAGATCATTATTGCCTACTGAACTGAGGGGCACAAATTCCTGAATGTAACATTAATGAGCTATAAGGTCATAAGAACAATGTTTGTAATAGATATCACCTCATCTAATACTCATAACACATATACTACATGGAATGAAAACTTTTTTTTAAAGTATGAAACATTACAGAGTAGATCAAAATTGTGTGAGGACAGAATGAGGTACAGATAGTCCCTCTTGCCCTGATACAGGAATTGTACCAAAAATTCTTTCTTTGAGTCTAATACAAAATGTATTATTAATTCAATAATATAATAAACAGATATTTTGTTCATCTATGCAAGAATTCCAAGAATATTAAATATAAAAGAATGATAGCAGGATAATGACTTGTCTCAGGACCTCATCTATCTGAATCTTATCAAGAAAATTTAGAATGAAATAACAATAATAAAAATAATAGACTTAGCACTTTAAATTTTGCAAAGCACTTTCCATATATTATCTTATTTGATCCACAAGCCAGCCCTATAGAATATAGTTCATTTCAAAATACTTTATAGGAAATAATATTCAACAAATTACAACGTATAGAGGGATGACAAATTATTTTCTATAAAGTTATATAAAATTCTGCTGCTAATGTCATATACTGTGTTTCTTTCTTTCTCTCCTAGATAAACCTCATAAGATACAAAGTTGGAACAGGCCTTTGAGATCTTCTTGTCCAACTCACATTTTACAAATGAGACAAATGAGTGTGAGAGAGATTTAAGTGATTTGTCCAAAATTACACAGGTATATAAGTATCAGGGACAGTGTTGAACACTTTTGACTTCCAATCCATTGGTATTTCCACTAAACTGATAACCATCATCCTAGAGCTTCCAAAAAGTATCCTCATGTCAATAACTGGGAATGTTATAGAGAGGACGGTTGTTTGAGTTAAGTATTTAAGTAGAAGAAATTTAATATTGATCGCTTCCAACTAGATGATGCAATGAGTTATTGATGGCTGGGCCTATCAGATCCAATGAAGACCATCATGCAGGCATTTCCGCTGGCTCTGTTTACCAGAGAAAGTTGAAAGATTCACCCCAGATGGTTGTAATTATGAAATTTAGCTAGTTAAAAAAATACCCAAAATTATACCATGAAAACCTATAAACATTCCAATAAATTCTGAAGGAAAACAATACAACTTAGGTAAAATATCCTTGAATTGCTTATTATCATTTTGAGAGCAAATAGTGCTCATTTCCTTTCATGTTGTTCTAATAGAAAAGCATATAAAAATATGGTATTTGTGCATTTTAATTTATGGTTGATGAAAAATAGACTGTGAGCTTAAGGTTTACTCTGAGTCCTATGCTGTCTTGGTTGGCTATTATTGTCTTTGATTTTTTCTTGGGGGGGGAGGTTGTTGTTTTTTCTTTCAAGACATTAATGATGATGATAATACTTCTGATAATAACTAGCATTTATGAAGGACTATAAGGTTTGCAAAATGCTTTACAAATATCTCATTTTATCTTCACAAAAAAACCCAGGAGGTATGTGCTATTTTTATCCGTTTTTGGCAGATGAGGAAACTGAGGTAGACCAGATTAATTGAATCCAGGTGGTCTGACTCCAGAAACAATTCTTTTTTTTTTTAACTATATGACAGTACCTGCCAAAGTCATTTCATTTTAATTCAGCCAGCATTTATTAAGCACCTACTGTGTGCCAGGTACTGAGTTAAGTATATTCTGGGGATACAAAACCAGTCTCTGCCTTTAGGATTCTACAACTTCCTGGGGACAGGGATATGGTGGGAAAGATGCAACATGCACACAAGTCAGGATAATACAACATGATTTCTGCAGAAGGGAGCCTGTGAGAATCAGTAAAGTTTCTTATAGGTGTTGGCACTTGAGATTGTATTTCCCTGCTTATTTTTTATGGTCCAGTAAAAAGAAAAAAAATGATAAATTGAGAAAGGTGGCCAACAGCAAAGGCATTTGAAAATAATGAAGGCAACTTGTTTCACTTTCTTAGTTAAATTTTTTTTTTTTATTTCAGTAAAATGACACTGAAATTGGAGCCTATTCACAGTTGTATTACATACAATGAACTTTTAAATCAGCCAATTAAAAGTTAAGAGAAAGGTTTGAATTGGTGGCCTGGGTATTCGTTTGTTTATCTGTTCGAATCAACAACCAGATCTTCAATTTAGGTCACACCATCACAAAGAGGAAGGGATTGGAGTCTGACATTGAGATGCTCTATTTCACACACTTGCCCTCTGGAAGGACTGGCAAAGGCAGTCACTTAAATTAAGTACAGGTCATCAGACAAGATAGCTAATCTATTCCTGAGACAGACAACTTCCATAGCCCAAATCCCCATGGCCTTTATAGAGATACAATGAACTACTTCCTCCTGTACCTCTGTCAGTTCATGTTAAGCTCCTACTTTTTTTTTTAAGTGATATTTCATGTATTCTGTAAGTCTCTTGCTCAAAGCAAGGAGAGTGCTTTGGATTATTTAGGACCTGCTAACATTAAGCAAAACAAAATGAGTTGCCATAAGCCTGGAGATGAGAAATAAAGCTTAAAATAATTTTGGCATTTTTAGCAAATCACACTAAAAGGTTGCCCAGTTTAGAAAAAAAAAGGAATAAAAAAAAAAAGAGGAAAGCCATGGATGTATGAATGATCCATTGAAAATAGTTACCTTGATTCCAGGATACTCCTGCCACATCTAGTATGCCACCATACTAGTTTTAATCCAAACGATGGTGAATGGTGGTTTTTTTTTTTAATTCTTCAATGGTTCTGTGATGTCTTTGATGTGAGTACTCCCTCCAATGGTACCCATCCATGACTTCTTAACCTATGTGGTTCTTATCTGTATCCCTCAATAAATCCTTCATATCCAACCAATGTATTTAA